GTAAAACAATAGGAACTAAGCGCTGGGTCTAAGGGGTTTTCGCAGGAGTTCATCAACTGATCTAATGACAAACAAATAATAAAGGTAATTATTTAGTGAGGTTCCCGAACTCGAATAAGCGCAGGTATGACTAGCCAACTCTCTCACCTTAATCAACTAATTACTCAAACTCGACAATTAATTCTCGCTCTTATGTCGTGATTAAGCTCATGCATTAAAAATAGAATTCATCTATGCTCAAGATTCTCTATAGGTACTTTTCGTCTCCTATAGCGACTTTGCTCGTATCACTTTTAGGTCAGGCAATCTGGTACAACACTCTCGCGGCTCCAATTATTTAAGATCAGTTTCTAAGCGGATAGCAACAGAAACATGCATAGAAAACAAGAATGAACGAAGGACTCCTAGAAGATTATAAACCTTAAATCTAACAATTCAATAGATCAAGACATGATATTCCCTTTGAAAAATCCATTTAAACCCAACTGGAAAACTACTCAGACATAGCTGAGTTTAACATCATAAAAGTCTTTAGAGTTGCAGAGAATCGAAATAGACAAAAGTAAGAAACGAAGAACAGGGTGAAGAAGGAGGGCCGATGGTGACCCTCTCGATGGCTCCTCTTCACGGGTGACGCCTCTCTCTAGGGCTCTTGACAAAAAACCGGCACACCTCTTCTAAATGACTTAACAGAGGTATATATAGTGTCTTGAGTCTTCGGGAACGTCTAGGGTTTGTAGGAATAATTTAGGAATGACTTGGGCTTTAAAATGGGCTTCTGAGGCTCTGAAATAGGCACCCCGCGTCCTATTATGTCACAGCCACAGTGGATGATGATTTGGCCGAGGGTCAGCTTTCGAACTGTGTTGATTCGCCTTTAGTGCATTGACCATATCTGGAGATCTAACCGTTGGATTGCTTCGATTCCAAATGCATTGGAAAGCTGGTTGTCTCCTTTATCGTGTGTCGGTCAGATGTGGAAAGGTCTCCATTTTTTGCCAAACTTCCGACACCCTTTAAGGTAACACACCACTCTTACGCAACCTCCAAATGCTTCGTGGAGGCTTTTGCATGAACTAAGCATATTCACTGCATAAGCCAGCTCCAGGCGTGTGTATGTGAGATACACCAACCGACCAACCAGTCGCCGATACCGTTCTGGATCCCTATAGTAATCACCATCATTTTTCGCCAGTGTATGATTTTGTTCCATCAGAGTGGAGACCGGTTTACACCCTAACAAACCACATTCTTTGACAATATCCAAGGCATACTTCCTTTGTGATAAATATATCTCTTCAGAAGATCTTGCTGATATGTTCATAATTTGCATCATTTAGGTTGTATATTTCATTCCAAATCATATTTTATTTCATGCATTTTAGGTCCTTAGGTGTTGTTTTAGGGCTTAGGGGTTGCATTAGGTCCCAATGAGTCTTTGCATGGTTTGGAGTGTTTATCAGGTGTATTTGGAGCTATTTGGAGCTGAAAAGGTGAAACCAGGAAAAGAAATGGTGATCAGAGCCTTAAAGATGGTGAACGCAGCCTTTTGGATGTTCTCGGCGCTAGCCTGTACCGCGGGAAGCTTTTTCTCGGCTATTCTCATGTACTGCGAGTGGATTTCTCGGCCAAAACGCGTACCGGCTGTTCAAGTTTCTCGGCCAAAATTCCCGGGTACAGATACATCTCTGAAATCGCCTTACCAAAAGGTCTTTCCGGGCGATTCAGCCTCCGGGGTCTTCAGAAAAGATTAAGATAATGGAGTCTAGATCTCAGAACAGTTGGAATCGAATAGTTTGGAGCATCGAGCTGAAAGATACGGCCACCGGAAGACAGATCTCTCTCGCATCCGTTCTGGAGCAATCCCATACGTCTGGAAAGATCGCCTGTCCGGGAAGTCTTAACGTCCGATTCAGATTACAGGGTTTTCAGCAAAGTTGGAGATGATCAGGTCACAGATCCAGAACAGATGGAATCATTTGATTTGGAGTCGTGAGCAGAGAGTTAAGCTCACCGGAAGACACACCTGCCTCACTACAGTTTGAAGACCGGTCCAATGAATCACAGAGTTTGCGTGGGACGATGCCTTTCCATTCTGATTCAGTTGCCGGGTTCTTCATCAAGATTCGATATCTTTAAGTTCTATTTCCATAACGTCTGAGATCATCCAGTTTGCAGCTATGTGCTGAAAGATACAGTCTCCGGAGTGAACACTGGTCCAAGAGCTTCTCTTTGATCATTCTAATGTAATGCAGAGATGAGCCGTCCGGGGAACCTTCCACTCCCCGAGCATCAAAGATTTCTTCATAAAAGTTTGAGCATGATGAGTCATATTTCTTTTGGACTTGGTTTGATGTCATTTGGAGTTGTGAGGTGTGAGTTCCGGAAAGTGGAAGACAACCAGGTCAGTCAGATGTCTAAGGATGGAAATTATGCTAAGTGTCATACTCTGACACGGTGAGAACGTCACATTCTGGGGTTAGTCGTGGCATGTTATGACGTCTCTTGGGATTTGACACGGTTACGGTGCCACGGCCTTACACTTAGGTGTGGCAACACCCGAGTTCTTGCTTAAAAGACAAAGGATCAGGACACGGTCATATCGCCACGGTCCATACTTGACTGTGAAAAAGTTTTACCAACCTTCGGCGAATGACAAGGGGAGAATGCCATGGTCTAGACTTGATCGTAGCAAGATGCTGCTTCAGAGTGCCAACCTTCGGCAAATGACATGGTCAAGAGATACGGCCTACACCTGACAGCGGCAAAAGCTTAAAGGACTCGACACGACCAAGAGACACAGCCAATCATCAGGCCGTGACAATCACCGAATGTCCACTCCTGTGCCACGCTAAAGAGACACGAGCCAAGCAAGAACGTCACAATCAAATATGATCATCGTCCAAACCCAGAAACGACATGACACGGCCATGCATCACGGTCTAACTCAAGCCGAGGCAGCCTATTTCTTCAAGAACAAACGTTTGAGCCTTGACACGGTTTCTTTGCCACAGTCTGTCTAAGAATCATCTGACCGTGACAAACCTCATCTTTACCCATCAAGGCCGGGTCAGGACCCGGTTTGTTCCGGGCTGACCCGGTTCGTTTAAGGACTTATATATAGTTTTTTAGGGTTTTACCCAAAGGACCAAGCTTTATTCTCTTAATCTCTTGCCTCTTTTTTGAAAAGACTCCTCTTAAGAAGAGAATATCTCCCTTTTTGAGTTTTAATCAATAGAGTTTGAGAGATCTTTGTGTTTAAAGCTGCAAAATCCATCATTATCCATCTTTTCCATCTCATTTCTCATCATTAATCATGCCAATCTCCTAAACTTGCAAAGGTTTAAGAGAGATTAGTATGATTAGTGAGTAGTCACCTTAATGAGGTTCTAGATGTGTAGGTTAGGGTGCTAAAGTGTTAGATTTGGAGTGCTTAGGGCTAGATTCATTGATTTATCTCTCTAAACAGCTGTTCTCTTGGCTAGATTCGTGCATATCACTTGAGATCTAGATTCTGGGAATTTCATGCACCAAACGTGTTTGATGAAATTCTTGAAAGAGCTGTATTAGAGGGTTAAGAATTTGCTGCATGATGATGTCTTGTTATTTGCTTGAATGATCTTTTAGAACTGTTTATTAATGCTCACTGATTCATATTTTACAAATGATGATTTGGTTTGAAAATAGATTAGTGTAGAGGTTAATACCTTCATGAGAGGATTAATCTAGATTAGAGTTCTAAATCATTTGAATCTTGTCTCATCATTGTCATTAGCACTTCTGGTTTAGCACCAAAGCACTAGCCAACTATCATGTCTAGAATCTCATGCTCCCATTATTTCATATCATCTCATCTTGTTTAGTTGTCATTGCTTGCTTGTTTATTTGATCATTAATCTTTGTTTTAGTTTCAATCTTGTTTTAGGCACTAGTCACAAACAATCTTTACCATTTGCTTGAATTAATAAACTGTCTTATATTCTAGTGTCTACCACACATTGGACTGATAAACCCTTTATGCTGCAACAGCTAAAGGATTGATAACCCCTATTCAGAGCCTAAAAACCTCTAGTTATCAATTGGCGCCGTTGCCAAAGTGTGCTAGCATTAGTCTTAGATACTTTGTTGAGATCAAGTGCTTTTTTTTTGTTTACTGATTACTTTCAAGTTCTGTTTTTACTTTCAGGTGTATGAACACCAGGTCCAGGTCAAGAAGCTGTGGTCCACCTTTCCCTCTCAACGACAACATCAATCTTTTGGTTCCAAGAAAGAGAAGGGATAGGCGTGGAAGACAGACTGATCAGGCTGATATGGAAGATCAGAGACAGCAAGTGGTTGACATTGAGCCGCAGGTTCAAGAGGGGCAACATGCTCAGGTGTAGCAGGGTAATGGAGCTGGTAATGCCGCTGGTAATGGAGCTGGTAATTCAGCTGGAAATGGAGCTGGTAATGGAGCTGGTCAAGGGTTCCATCAGGGTAATGTTCAGCAAGAACAGGTGCATCAACAGCAAGCTTATGTCCACCAGGGACAAGCTCCAACTCATCAGCAAAGGCACCAGGCCAATGTACAGCAAAGACAACAGGCTCACCACCAACAGCCCTTCCAAAACCAACCAAGGAGATATGAGCAGCCACAGGTCTATGTTGGTGAGAATGACAGGGCCAATGCTCATCAGTATGGAGCAGTGATTCAAGCACCACCTGTGCAAAACAACAATTTTGAAGTCAAGGCATCTTTGCTGAATATGGTCCAGAACTCCAAGTTCCATGGATTGCCAATGGAAGATCCTTTGGAACACTTTGACCAATTTGATAAAGTTTGTGACTTGACAAAGATAAATGGAGTGTCTGAGGATAGCTTCAAGCTCAGATTATTCCCCTTCAGTCTTGGTGACAAAGCACACCAATGGGAGAAGAATCTTCCAAGAGGCTCCATTCAGACTTGGGAGCAATGCAAGCTGGCATTTCTGTCTAAGTTCTTCTCAACTTCCAGAACAGAAAAGCTAAGAAATAAAATCTCTAGCTTCACTCAACATAGCAATGAGAGTTTTGGTGAAGCATGGGAGAGATTCAGGAGCTACACCAGATTTTATTCAACATAGCAATAAAAGTTTTGTTGAAGCATGGGAGAAATTCAGGAGCTGCACTAACCAACACCCACACCATGGGTTTAGTGAGACTTTTCTTCTCAACACACTTTATAGAGGGGCTCTTCCCAAGATAAGGAATCAACTGGATACTGCATCAAATGGAAACTTTCTAGGGAAGGAGATTCATGCTGCTTTAGAGCTGGTTGAGAACTTAGCAATGAGCAATGATACATATGGAGACTTTGATAGAGCCAATAGGAGTGAGAGTTTAAGCAGGGATCAAAGGTATGAAAAAGACTTTAAAACACTTGAAAGCAAGTTGGACAAGGTGTTATTGGCCACTCAAAAGCCAATGCACTTTGTAGGAGAGTATGAGAAACCTTCTCAATGCTTTGAGAACATCAGTGAAGAGGGTCTTACTCAGGAAGAGATAAACTATATTGGGAATCAGAGGTTCCAAAGATATCAGTATGCCTATGCCAATCAGAACCTCTCTTACAGGAATCCCAATGTAGCAAACCAACAAGACCAAGTCTACCCTACCTCTTAAGCTCCACAGAATCTTGTTCACAAGAACAACTTTCAAGGGTCTTTTTAACCAAAGAATCAGTTTGTTCAGAATCAGGGTTACAGTCAGCATCAACAACCACTTCAGAGTTCTGGTTTCAGTCCACAGCAGCAACTAAAGGCACCACCAGGGTTTGGTCCACCACAGTTCCAGCAGCAGGCGCCGGTTCAGCATCATTTTCAGTCAGCACCTGTTCACCAGCAGCCACAGATGGGGTCAGATATGATTGGGATTCTACAACAGCTGCTTCAGGGTCAACAAGTGTTTGAAAGCCATTATGCATCAATGCAGCAGGACATCAAGGAGTTGAAGCAAAATCAGGCCTCTAGCTCAAGGAACCAAGGACAACTACCTGGTAAGCCTGAACCCAACCCAAAGGAGTATGCTAAAGCCATTACACTGAGAAGTGGCAAAGAACTACCAGGTGTAGAGTACAGCAATCTGATCATTGAGGACAATGATCAAACTGAGGGGGAGGCAGCCTTAAAAGATGATCAAGTTGCTGAAAGATCAAGGAAAGAAAAGGGTAAAGAGGTGGAAAAGGAACCTGAACCAGAAAAGCTATTTTTCCACCACCTCCATACCAACCCAAGCTCCCATTTCCAGGGAGATTCAAGAAGCAGCTTGTAGACAAGTCAAGAACTGTATTTGAGAAGGCTCTCATTGAGGCACCACTCACAATGCCTCTCATTGAAGCATTTCTAATGATGCCAAAGCTGGGTAAGTTCTTAAAAGATGCTATTCTGAACAAGACTAAAGAGCTTCAAGGTATGGTGGTATTGAGCCATGAGTGCAGTGACATTATTCAGAGAAAGTCAATTCAAGGAAGTTAACTGATCCAGGGAGCTTCACACTCCCTTGTGCTATAGGACCTCTGATGTTTGCTGGATGTCTTTGTGACTTGGGTGCATCAGTAAGCATAATGCCCTTCTCCATTGCCAGAAAGCTGGGCTTTAGAACTTTTAAGCCAGCAAGAATCTCCCTTGTCCTTGCTGATAGATCTGTGAGGTTACCTGTTGGAATGTTGGAAGATCTGCCAGTAAGATAGGTGGTTTTGAAGTGCCTACAGACTTTGTGGTGCTAGAGATGGATGAGGAACCAGTTGACCCTCTTATTTTAGGAAGGCCATTCTTAGCCACAGCAGGAGCAATCATTTATGTAAGAGGAGGCATAATTGAGCTTCAACTTGGTTCTGAAAGGCTGAAGTTTGATGTTAATGAAATGATGAAGAAGCCCATCATAGAAGGACAATGCTTCTATGTAGAGACCATGGATCAACTGGCTGATGAGTTGCTTGAGGAACTGAATACTGATGATCCCCTTCAAGTTGCTTTAGCCAAAGAACAAGGAGACCATGGGTTCTTAGCAGAGGAGAGTGAAGGATACAAGCTGTATTTGGACAATGCAAGAGAACTTGGTCCTGAGGCAAGGTTTTTGGAACTGGAACAAAGTGGCCTTGAGGTCTTGGATATCAGAGGCTCAAACACAAGCCAAGGAGCAGTTCAAGGAGTCATGGCCGTGGATTCTAAGATGAAGGAGCATGCTGGGCCGTGTGAGCAAGACAGCTTTAGTGCTGATTGGGATGAGTCTAAAGCACCTCAGTTGGAACTCAAACCCCTTCCCAAGGGGCTCAGATATGCTTTCTTAGGTCTCAATGAGTCTTATCCTGTTAGAGGACCAAGAGCATAGGTTGTTAGAAGAGTTGAGGAAACATAGGAAAGCCATTGGCTACTCTCTGGATGACATAAAGGGTATCTCATCCTCCCTATGCACTCATAGGATTCACTTAGAAGAAGAGTAGATGTCATACATAGAGCACCAAAGGTGTCTCAATCCTAACTTAAAAGAGGTAGTGAAGAAAGAGATTCTCAAACTCCTAGAGGCTGGGATAATTTATCCAATATCAGACTCTAGATGGGTTTCACAAGTCCATGTGGTGCCCAAAAAGGAGGGGGGATAACAGTAATAAAGAATGAGAATGATGAGCTGATTGCTACTAGGACTATAACTGGGCACATGATGTGTATAGATTATAGAAAGCTCAATGCAACCTCTAGGAAAGACCATTTTCTTTTTCCTTTTATTGACCAAATGCTAGAGAGGCTTGCAAACCATCGCTTCTTTTGTTTTCTAGATGGTTACTCTGGATTCTTTCAAATCCCCATAGATCCAAGAGACCAAGAGAAGACCACATTCACCTGTCCTTATGGGACATTTGGTTATAGGAGCATGCCATTTGGGCTGTGCAATGCTCTTCCTATTTTCCAGCGTTGCATGATGTCTATCTTTTCAGACCTAATTGAGGAGAAAGTAGAGGTCTTCATGGATGACTTCTCAGTCTATGGACACTCTTTTTCCTCTTGTTTGTCTAATCTTTCTCAGGTCCTGGATAGATGTGAGGAGCACAGCTTGGTGTTAAATTGGGAAAAATGTCACTTCATGGTCCAAGAGGGAATAGTGTTGGGGCACAAGGTCTCAGAAGCTGGAATAGAAGTGGACAGAGCAAAGGTGGAAGCGATGGTGAATCTGCAAGATCCAAACTCAGTCAAAGGGATAAGAAGCTTTCTTGGGCATGCAGGGTTTTACAGAAGATTCATCAAAGACTTTTCAAGAATAGCTAGGCCTCTGACTAGCCTGTTGTCCAAAGAGGTTGAATTTGTCTTTGATGCTGAGTGTGAGGAAGCTTTCAAGAAGATCAAGGAGGCATTGATCAGTGCACCAATTGTCCAGACTCCAGACTGGTCTCTTCCTTTTGAGGTTATGACTGATGCTTCCGACTATGCAGTTGGAGCTGTGCTTGGCCAGAGGAAGGACAGAAAACTTCATGTGATCTACTAGGCCAGTAGGAACCTTGATTATGCTCAAGAAAAGTATGCAACCATAGAAAAGGAAATGCTGGCAATAGTTTTTGCATTTTATAAATTCAGAAGCTACCTGGTGGGATCAAAAGTCATTGTGTACACTGATCATGCAGCCCTCAGATATCTAATGACAAAGAAAGATGCCAAGCCTAGACTTTTGAGATGGGTCCTCTTACTTCAAGAGTTTGATATGGAGGTACAAGACAAGAAGGACATAGAGAATGGAGCTGCAGACCATCTCTCTTGGTTAAGAGTGGACTATGAAGTCCCTCTTAATGACTCTCTCCCTGAGGAATCATTGATGGTGCTCAACTCTTACTTGAAGTTTGAGGAAGTGGATAACATCCAAGAGAGGATAATGCCTTGGTTTGCTGACATTGTGAACTTTCTTGCTTGTGGAGTGGAACCACCAGAAATTGATGCTTACCACAGAAAGAAGTTCTTCAAAGATGTCCAAAGATACCATTGGGATTAGCCTTACCTGTATGTCCTGAACAAAGATCAGCTGTATAGAAGGTGTCTTGCTGAAGAGGAGATGCAACCTGTGTTGCAATAGTGCCATGGATCAGCTTTTGGGGGTCAAATGGGAGCATTCAAGACGGTGGCCAAGGTTCTTCAGAGTGGGTTTTGGTGGCCTACTATGTTTAAGGACGCTCAGAGGGTTGTTTCAGCATGTGATGCCTGTCAGAGGCATGGGAACATTTCAAAGAGGAGTGAAATGCCTCAAAATCCAATATTTGAGGTTGAAGTTTTTGATTGTTGGGGAGTGGACTTTATGGGGCCATTTATCTCATCTTATGGGAATCAGTACATATTAGTGGCTGTGGACTATGTGTCCAAATGGGTTGAGGCTATTGCTTCCCCTACCAATGATTCCAAGGTGGTGGTCAGGTTGTTCAAGAACATAATCTTCCCAAGATTTGGAGTACCAAGGGTTGTTATTTCTGATGGAGATTCTCATTTTGAGAACAAAAACCTTAGAGGGACTGCTGAGGAAGCATAGAGTGAAACATAAGGTAGCTACTCCTTATCATCCTCAAACTAGTGGCCAGGTTGAAGTGTCTAATAGATAAATTAAGGTCATTCTTGAGAGGACTGTTAGCTCAAGCAGAAAAGATTGGAGCAAAAGGTTGGATGATGCATTGTGGGCTTATAGAACATCCTTTAAGACTCCAATTGGGACATCTCCTTTCAATCTGCTATATGGGAAGAGATGCCACCTTCCTGTTGAGCTGGAGTACAAGGAATTATGGGCTGTGAAGTTGCTGAACTTTGATATCAAAACATCTCAAGAGAAAAGGATAATTCAACTCCATGAACTTGAAGAGATCAGGTTGGAGGTTTTTGAGAGCTCTAAGATATACAAAGAAAAGACCAAAGCTCTACATGATCAAAGGATTTTGAAAAGGGAGTTCAAGGAAGGTGATTTGGTGTTGCTGTTCAACTCTAGGCTTAAGTTATTTCCTGGAAAACTTAAGTCTAGATGGTCTGGTCCCTTTAATATTCTTGAAGTTAGGCCATATGGAGCTGTTGTGTTAGAAGGTAAAGATGGTCAAAAGTTTGTGGTCAATGGCCAAAGGATCAAA